TTTTTTTTGCTTCTATCTCGTTCTTCCTTTATTCGTTTATCTGGTTTTCTAATTTTTGCGCTAGTGAATCAGCAATGAAAAGGTGCTGAATCGGCATCCGCGCGCTTCTGGACCGTTACGCAGTTTCTCGCAGTCGCTACTTTCATGAATGGCCTTACAGTTCTTTATATATAGGGTGGTGGAGATCACCTTTTCGGTAACTATAGTTAGAGTAATGCATTTGCTTTAGGTTCTTCGTGGAAACGCATCATCTACTACCTCTTCCGACGGTGGTTCACGCCTCAGTAACCTGCACGACACCAAAACGACGGTGGCGACGACCACCACATCTTCGACGGCTTCCGCTGTCTCCAAACCCGCCACTATGCCCCCGGTTACGACGAATGTTTGGCAGCAACGCATGGCTGCACGCCAACGCGAGCAGCAACAGCAGCAAGCCATGATGGGTAAGTACTTTTGAAACGTAGCGATTTATTGTTTATGATTTCCTGATTTTAGCCAAGGAAAAACACCCATCGAATGCAGCCACCACAAGTACTCCGTCCATCGGGTCAAATACGGTTACATCTGTACTGAGTGGTGCATCCCTCTATGGCACTACTCCTGCACCTCCGAGAATGCCTCAGGGCTCAGCCGCTGCCGCTGCAGCTGTGAACAAGAATGATAACCAGTCATCTACTTCGAATATACCTGTACCTATTGGTCCGCCGAACTCCATTCTTGACAAAGAACTCCCAAGGAAAGCACCTGGCTACAGATCGCCTAGCGTTCAAACATCCGGTGGGTCTCAACTGACAGTTTCTTGAGCTTTTCTAAAGTTTCATCGATTTTCATTGAGTTTTTTCTAAATATTTTTAGTATTGTGTTTTTTGCTTTCATCCAACCCTTTTAGCTGGAGGTTCGTCCGTCTTTGCCGAGCAGGCTGTTTCATCGATACCATCATCTGTATCTTCCACACCGCCACCTTCTATTGCCTCCATAGGAGGAGATATTGCGTCTCGCTGTACGCTTGGGTCTCCTCCTGCGCCTATTGCACCACCTCCTGGATTCACAACGCTTGTTTCGGAAGTTGGAAAATGTAAGTTTCACGCACTTATTTTTTAGCTTATGATTTCCTCAGTCAAAATGGTTCTTTCAGCTGTTGCTGCCAAATCGACTACAAATGCGCTGTCTTCACATGCTGTAGACCCACCAGCTGTGGAGATTGCTTCATCTCCCCTTTCCACTTCTACACTGCCGTTGGGAAAGCTTCCAAGTGCTGATTCCATTACTACTCCAACAGGGACCAGCAATGATCTGTCTTCTATGCAGTTTCTTGATGAGAGTACTAGAGCTAAGCTTGCTGAGGTGAGAGTTAGTGGTACATAATCTCCCTTTAGACTGTATGCTTTTTTGCAGATTTGGGGAACTGGTAAACAGGATCAGTCTTCGCAAGAACAAGCATGGGGAAACCAAGTCCTTCTGAACAACTTTCCCAATCTCAGTATTGGCAGTTCGGTATGTTCATTGTCTTATGTTGCCTATTTTTCATGGTTTATTCCCTTTCTTAGTTGTTTTTTCTTCTGCGAAAAGGATCTTGAAATGCGATATTCTCATTCTATGACCAGATTGTTTTGTCAGAGACCCCGTCATACTTCGCCGAAAAAAGCGCAAAAAAGCGCGAAAAAGCCTAAAATAGAACGTCTACTTCACGAGCGCCACTTTCAGCACTGGAGCATGAATTTTAGAGACATTTTGGACTAGTGCAACTACGTTTTCACATTTATAAAGTGTTCGATAATGTTAGTCATTGTTATTGCTAATGTCATTTATGTAGTGATCGGCTTTCTGGGCTTTTCTAGGCTTTTCCACGCTTTTCCGTTTTTTGGGTTTTTCTTGGGCGTTTTGGGGCTTTTTTCGGCGAAGTATGACGGGTCCCTCATTAGTTGTCACAGCAGCATACTGTATTTGTACTAGGTTTAGCTAACCGTCTCCTCTGCTCACTGAACAAGTTTGTGCTTTAACTTATATTTCTACACTTTTCGGCCAAAAAATCCATCTCGGAAAAATATTTAGCTCTCACTTCTGATCTTGTAGGTGCGAAGAGTGCTATGATTATGGTTCCAGCAGATTGGACTGTAGTCAGCATGTCGTTGCATTAAATTATCTGAACAGTATCTTTGTGCTCGAACTTTCTTATCATTATTCATATCTTATTCTGATTTTCTC